TCCAGTCACAAAATCCCGCCAATAAGGACATAAATGGACATATAAGTCCCAAGTGCGCATGCTCAAACAATCGAAATCTCAGCAGTCAAGCCATAGACCAAAGTCGGCCTCAAGTCCTCCAGACTAGCCCATTATCAACATGCTAAAATCACATCTCGCACCTCACCCATGGAAATCACAAGTGGTAGATGCACAGCTGATACCGAGCGCTCACGTGCGCATTCGAATGCATGAAAGGAATCCAAAGAGTTACGCTTTTGGCTGAATAAATGGATGCACGATAAGAATTCAAGAATGTGAGATTTTTCCTAAGGGTTCCACAGCCTCTCGAAGATAAGTACAGACGTCTCCGTACCGATCCTCAAGACTCTACTAAACCTACTCATCACTGGTGAGACCTATGTAACCTAGGCTCTGATATAAACTTGTCATGACACCAAAACCAACCGGGTCGTGATGGCGCCTATCATGGAACTAGGCCAGCCGACACAATTCCAAAACCATTCAATATTTTCATTCTTAGGATAAAATCAAAGGTATTTAACAATAAACTTTATAAAATGTTTAAAACAAAAAAAAACAGTGTGGAAAGAAAGCCAGACATCGGGGTATCACTAGTCATGAGCATCTACTACAATCGTCTAACAACATCAAGACTAACATGGCCTGGAAAAATCACTGAATACCACTAAGGGAGAATAAGGGGGGAGGAAAGCAGGGCTGCGACCGCCAGGCAGCTACCTTGCTAACTCCGATGAACCTACCACTGAGAAATCAACACCTGTTACCGGGTTCAGAAATACCTGAATCTGCACACAAGGTGCAGGGAGTAATGTTAGTACGCCAACTCAGTAAGTAATAAAGGTAAATAAAGGCTGAGCAGTAGTGACGAGCATTTAAAATCATATACATCTCATATCATAAAAACCTCAGTGGAAATAACAAGATTCAAATCAACAGTTAAATTCCGAACATCTCGTAAAAATTCCAGTTCCAATGAAAGTTGCTTAACATTTGTTCAACATCACCAGTAGAGACTCAGTATAAAAGAAGAGTGAAAACAGAAATTTCATAAAACAAGTCCCTCGGGAGAAGTAACACTCATATATATATATATATATATATATATATATATATATATATATATATATATATATATATATATATAGCCCCTCGAGCAAGGCTCTCAGTTACTCGTGACTCAACTCTTATCAATCAGCGCTCACACTCAGCACTCACGCTCAATAGGTACCTTATAATCACCGTTGCGGCGTGCAGCCCGATCCATAAATATATAGTCGACTGCGCTCATTAGGGGTGTGCAGACTCCGGAGGGGCTCCTACAGCCCAAACGCTATATCGCTGCGGCATGCAGCCCGACCCAACATCACTGCGGTGTGCAGCCCGATATATATATATATATATATATATATATATATATATATATATATATATATATATATATATATATATATATATATATATATAATAAAATATCCGAGGACGGCGTGCTGCCCGATCCATAATTACATAATCCTCGCCATCAGGCCCTCGGCCTCTCTCAGTCATCGACCTCACAAGCCAGTCGGGCATTTCAGTGAAAAATCAGGGAACTCAGCCCAAACAACTTTCATATGTTTTAAAAACAGAGTAATGAAACTGAATCAAACAATAAACAGGTAAAAATCATGACTGAGGATATGCTTTCGAATTAATACAGTGTGAGGATAGTAGTAAAATACCCCTGAGGGTCCAAACAGTACGGCACAAGGCCCCGAACATGGCATTCAGCCCAAGTTAACAGAATCATTTCTAAGACACATAGATATCATATAGAGTTTATCAAAATATGCAACTCTACAGTTGCCACGGGACGGACCAAGTCACAATCCCTACTGGTGCACGCCCACACGCCCGTCACCTAGCATGTGCGTCACCTCAGTTATCAAAATAGTATGAAATTCCGGGGTTTCATACCCTCAGGACTAGATTTACAATCATTACTTACCTCAAACCGGTCAAAACTCCACACTGCGATGCTCTTGCCTCTCGACTCGCCCTCCAATCGCTCTGAATCTATTCACAACCACAACAATACCATCAATATACGCTAATGGGATGAATTCCACAAGAAAAACTATCAAATTAGGCACAAATCCCTAAATCCACTCAAACCTGGCCCTCGGGCTCCCGTCTCGGAATTCGACAAAATTACCAAACTTGAAAACCCATTCACTCCCGATTCCAAACATACGAAATTTATCAAAATCCGACCTCATTTGGTCACTCAAATTCTCAATATCCACTATCCAATTTCAAGCCCTAAATTCCCAAATTTCTAGTCCAACTTCTCAATAAGATAGATGAATAAAATCATAGATTCCTGAAATTTAAACCATTATAGGTTAGAATCACTTACCCCCAACGTTGCTCCTTCAAATCCCTTGAAAAATTGCTTCTCTCCCGAGTTCCTCAAGCCCAAAATCAAAAATATGAAGAATAAACCTCGAGCTGGGGTTTTCTGTCCAGAAAAACCACACATGCGGTCAAATACCCGCTTCTGCGGCACCGCACCTGTGGAATTTCCATCGCAGGTGCGGAACCCACTTAATGAACCACTTTCCGCATCTGCGGTCACACCATCACACCTGCGACTCATCTTCCGCTTCTGCGGAACGGACCAAATTCCACATCGTCCGCATCTATGAATCCCAGCTCGCACATGCGACCTCACACCTGCGGTCCCCAATCCACAGGTGCGGATATGACAGAAGCATCAAATTTTTAGCAGCACCAACTCAATGTCAATCCTTCCGTCAACCACCCAAATTCACCCCAAGGCCCTTGGGACCTCAACCAAACATGCCAACAAGTCACATAACACCATTCGAACTTATTCAAACCTTCGTAACACTCAAAACAACATCAAAACACCAAATCACCCTCGGATTCAAGCCTAAGGATTTCAAAAACTTCCGAATTCCTCAAATGATGCCGAAACCTATCAAACCTCGTCCGAATGACCTGAAATTTTGCACGCACATTACAAATGACACAACAGACCTACTCCAATTTCCGAAATTCTATTCTAACCCCGATATCAAGATTTCCACTGCCGATCGCGAAATGCTAACTTTTCAATTTCACCAATTCAAGCCTAATTCTACCACGGACCTCCAATTTACATTCCGGACGCGCTCCCAAGTCCAAAATCTCCCAACGGAGCTAACCAAATTATAAAAATTCAAATCCGAGATTGAATACTAAAAAGTCTAAACTTGGTCAAACTTTTCAAATTTAAAGCTTCAAGCTGAGAATCATCCTTCTATATCTGCTCCGATTAACCTGAAAATCAAAACTGACGATTTACTTAAGTCATAATACATCATACGGGGCTAGTCATGCCCGAGAACTGACGAACAAAGTGCAAATGCTCAAAACGACCGGTTGGGTTGTTACAGTTTAAGACTCTCATAGGGGCATAGACAAAGTCCAGGAAGCTTCTGGTTAAGTGGGTGATTTTCACAAAAAAAATTGTGGGTGCATTACTTAAGTTTTGACCCGATTTATTGAATTTGTGCACGAATAGCTCAATTTCCAAGTTACAAAGGATGCATTTGCAACTTTATATTCTTGTACTACAAGATGCACTGCAATATATGAAATCAAGAAGAACTGTGGTCAAGGGCAAATAAGCTTTGGTCGAAACTCTGTGTATACTTGTATTTATATATAAGAAATTGTATATATAGATTTAAAGCGCCACCCATAATAACAAATGATATAAATGTGCCAATGGCAAAAGGTAGGAGATTTCATCTTGCTTGTAAAGGATTGAAGCCCACTAGAAAGAACTTTTGGACCTATTGGGCTACATCACATTAAGCTTTCTATCATTTTATGCATTCCATTTTCTTTTTCCTTCTTCTATAATTATTGTTAACTATCTTATTTATGTGTTAACTTTTGAATTTCGTTTTGTGTCTCTTATTGTCACACCTCCTTTTTCCGAAGGGAATAGGGAGTTTTCCAATTAAAGTGATATTAATCGAAATGAGATTATTTATTTATTCAAAGTCGTCACTTGGGATAATTATGGTGTCCCAAGTCACCGGTCTTATTAAATCCCAAATCGAGAAAGTTTTGAATCTGTTTTATAGTCCGCGAAATACAGAAGACCGGGTCAGAAATTCTGTTAACCCGGGAGAAGGTATTAGGCATTCTCGTGTTTCGTGGTTTTAGCACAGTCGCTTAACTGTTAATAATTGGCCTAATTATCTTATTTATCACATGTTTTAAACCTATTGTATATTTTTAACTTTATAACCGCTTTTAATATTATGAAATTTATTTGAACGAGTCGCAATGTCGCACACTCGTTTATTTTTGTACATATTGCAAATCACTTCGCGTGATACGCACCCGTGATCTACAACATATTTATTTTATTATTATTCGAAGTTGTGGTCAAGTCGCATAAAATGCGCACTCGAATTGGGATTAGATATTATGACTATGCCACGGGAGCCGTACCCATAGTCACGATAATTTATTTATATAGCCGCGCCTAAAGCGAGCTACAAATGTTCATATAAGTTATTTCCTAGCTTCGTGATTATTGCAAGGTCTTCGCATATGGACACGTATAATGGTATAAGGTGGGAGATTTATTCTTTATAAGTGGTTGATTATTCTACAATCCATATTATGCCTTATGATATAAATATGATTCCACCATACTCAAATATGCACGACATTGAATCACAGGAAACTAATAAGACGAGTTGAGATTTCATAACTTAATAATCCTTTTTTTTTCAAACTGATCGTTAGTCGATCCCTCAAATAATCCTAACACATGGATTAGAGCTACGCGAATTACAGGCCAGCGGGTAGTGACTTCAAGCAATTGAGGAACCAAATTCGCTTTTAGTGAAAGATGTAGTAAAATGCATTTTTTCTAGTGCATTAGTGCTAAGTGAAAACAAATACAAGCAACTTTAAACATAATGACAAGCTTATCAGATTTTCAAAGAAAAAAAATTGCAGCCAATTTGATATACAAAAGTCGGAATCCAAACTTTAAAACATTAATCACTTTTATTACAATTCTCCATGAAATTGCTAAACTAATGAATACTTTCCAATTCAGATATAGTCTATCCACATGAACTTTAATCCGCAACATGAAGTAGTTAATTTTCAGCATACTACCAGCGACAGAATCTCATTCTTTGACTTACAACTTTGCTTATTTGGCCAACTAGTGGCCAAATCCGTAAACTATAGCCATGTGATCAGCAACAACAACCTTCAATATCCTCAAATTGGCACAAAATTACTCATCACATATGCAGAAAACTATGGTGGCTTTATGCTTAGAGCTATTGCTAAAGCTGCAAAATTTAAACAAACTACAGATATCACTCAAGATTATCAATCAAGCCAACAGCTAATGACTCAATACTTAGTTGATCAAATTTTTATAAGTGTCCTATTTTAAAGCTATTTTAATATTTCTATTCATGACTGGAACACAAAGTCCATCAAATCACACAGTAAAAGAGCAACAAACAAATATTCAGAAATCAAACAAGAGTAGAAGCATTTCTATTCATCTGATAAGAACAAAAATATAAAAAAGATCTTGGTACTAACCTAGATAAGCAACAAAGCACTAGGATATCCAAATAAGAACAAAACCTGATTCAAACTGGAAGTTCAGCAATAATCTTCACCAGTGTAACCCAAGTCTCAACAATCAATCAAACTTGTGAAACCCTAAAGAAATGAAGCCGGAATCCAGAACAAGAAAAGTTTGGAGCCTTTCTATATTTTTGTATTTCTGTCTTTAAATTGGAATTTTCATATTGTTTCTTTCTTCAGAGAGAATCTCCCGGATCAGAGTATATGTGTGTCTCTTATATAAAGTATAAGGGCTACTGTTATTAGAGAAGAAAAAGAAGGAATCTCTAGGAATTCTATCAGCTAAAAAACAGGAAATAAACATCTATTTAACAGAAAATGGACAGCTGTTGGACAACTGCTATCCAGATATTCCCCCTATTTTTTAGCCATTTAGCTCCTGAAATTAACCTTCTAGAAACAAAAACTCTCAATTGGGCCTAGGCTAAGCGACCTTGCCTGGATTGGCCCAAAACAAGCAGGCTTGACGTCAATGAAACCTACACGGGAAACAAAACCAAAAGATGCAACAATCATATCCTATTCCTAATAAGGAATTAACTAAGCATGTTATCAATTAAACTAGTAGTTTTATAAATTAATTTAATTATCATGTAATCGAAAAATTGAAAATCTATAACTAATCTGAAATTAAGCCATTAGAGGAAAAGAAAGAAGAAGAAAAGAGATGAATTACCGGCACTAAAACGGGCACGTGAATGCTCTGACCGGCTATGGGTAAATCGACCGGATTCCGGCGAATTCGAAGTGATCCAAAATTGGTATCAATCGGTTGTTCTTTTTGAAGAACAAACGATCATTAAAAAATTTAGGCCAAAAAGTCATAAACGCCGAAAAAATCAGAAAGGGAGGCGGATTAGGGTTTTTCGGCCTTCTTAGATTTGAAATTGGAGACGTTTGATTGGGATTTTGGGTAAATTGATAAGGGGTTAAGGTTTAGGGGGTGTGTGAGGATCATGAGGGTGTTAATTTGGGGCGGTTTGGAGTAGTGCCGCCACAGTAGGGCGATTTCCGGCGGCGGCTTTGACAGGGAGTGAGAGATAAGTGCTGAGAGATAATAAGGGAGAAATGGGGATCGGTATCAAGGGTTTGGGGGGGGGGGTCTTCCGACCATTATAAGAGGGAATAGAACGAGTTGGGAGCCGTTGGATGGGATCTTAATGGTCGGTGGAGGTTAAGTTTAGTTGAAACGGGGTCATTTTGGTTTATTGAGGGATTTGGACCGGTTGGGGGGAAGACTGGGTTGGGGCAAATTTGGTTTTGAGGGGATTTTGGGCCTAGAAATTGCTTTGGCCCAAATTCGGAACCAAACAAAACTTTTCTTTCTTTTTTTCTTTTTTCTTGATTTTAAATCCTAATAAAATTAATGAAAAACCTAATTAAGTCCTAAATCAATCTAATTTGTAGAATTAATCTTAATTATCCATTTCTAAAATTTAATAACTAGTTAAGTCAATACTAGTGAAAGGAAATTACTAATTTAACACTAAAAGCTTAAAACGTAAAAATGACTTATTTTTGTGATTTTTGTTTAATAATGCAATTAATAAACAACTTAAATCCTAAAAATGCAAATAAAAACCCAAACTGCAATGCATGAAATTTTGAAATATTTTGTGGTACTTTCTTATGATTTAAATATGTTAAATATGAAACTAAATGCAAACAACAATTGACAAGGAATTCCTAAAAATTCTATAAAATTAAAATAATTAGAAAAATCTATTTTTTTGAATTTTGTAGGAGTATATTTAGTCGAGCAAAAATTACGTGCTCATAGTTGTCCCTCTTTGCTTGGAGACACGACGAGTTTTCGGAAAAAGATAAAGTGAGCAAATACGAGCAATTTTTGCCCGTTTGGATACTCCATGTGAAGCGTTTTGAAAAAAGTTTATCCAAACCTTGCTTCGGAGGTTGCCTATATATCCTTGGCTATAACGAATCAAGTGAGTGTAGTTTTGGAAACTTTGGTAGCTGGGACTACCGAAAAACTGTGATTTCACTGCTGTTACTGCTTGCTGAACTCCTTATTACACCAAAATCAAAACGAAAGAAATTAAATAAGCCTATCAGCTATGAGTTACAAGACTCCTATCTATAAGTCTTTTGAAGCTTTTACAGTCCTGTTGTGCATCTCGAACTGTCGACTCGCATTCTGCTACTTGAATTGACCCTATTCTTCAGGCGGACTCCTGCTACTGTCCTAAATCTTGAAGTGAATTCTGAAATGACTTCCCTCGTTTTCCAGGTGGGCACCTGCTGCTGACTGGAAACTTGAAATAAGTTCCCTCATTCTCCAGGTGGGCGCCTGCCACTAACTTGAAAATTGAAATAACTCTGAAAAGAATTCCCTCGTTCTCCAGGTGGGGCGCCTGCCACTGACTTGAAAATGAAATAATATTCCGAAATGAATTCCCTCGTTCTCCAGGTGGGTGCCTGCCGCTGACTTGAACTTGAAATAAATTCCCCCATTCTCCAGGTGAGCGCCTGCTAATGACTTGAACTTGAAATAAATTCCCTCGTTCTCTAGGTGGGAGCCTGCCACTAACTTAAAACTTGAAATGAATTGCCTTGTTTTCCAGATGGGCGCCTCAAACTAACTTAAAACTTGAAATGAATTCCCTCGTTCTCTAGGTGGGCGCCTGCCACTGACTTAAAACTTGAAATGAACTTCCGCGTTCTCTAGGTGGGCACCTGCAACTGACTTGAAACTTGAAATGAATTTCCTTGTTCTCTAGGTGGGCGCCTGCCACTGACTTACAACTTGAAATGAATTCCCTTGTTCTCCAAGTGGGTGCCTGCATATTGACTTGAGACTTGAAATGAATTCCCTCGTTCTCCAGGTGGATGCCTACAATTGACTTGAAACTTGAAATGAATTCCCTCGTTCTCCAGGTGGGCACCTGCAACTAACTTGAAACACATTCTAAACGATTAACCCTCGTTCTTTAGGTGGGTGCCTGCAAGCACAACAAAACAGACAAAGCAATGAAAATTTTCTACCCCAGTTTGTACCAGGAACATTTGTGAGTGTCAATTGAATCCCATTATCCAGGAGGGTCCTGAGAATTTAAAACTAAATCCCACTATCCAGGAGGGTCCTGAAAAACTTAAAATTGAACTTACTTGGAACATGCTTTCCTCATGGATGATTCCTGCCGAGCAAACAATGGAAAAGAGACTTATCTGAGTGAAGAAGCTGGCTCTAATAATCATGACATGCATTTGATTTATCGGCCTAATCTGTCCAACCAATCACATTTTCAGTTCATGTCACGTCTCCATACTTCAAAACTGAGATTTCAATGATCCATTTTCTCTGTAAAGTCACGAACCTCATTCGACTTGTAGTGCCCAGAAAGGTTTTCACCAACAAACCTCTCTCATTTGTTCATCTCTCAACTCATCATCTCTTACGGTGCCCGCGAGGGTTTTCACCAATAAGACTTTCTCATTTTAAATTTTGCCTCAGCTCACCATCACCTTACGATGCCCGTGAGGGTTTTCACCAATAAGACTCTCTCATTTTATTCATTTTTCCGTATTCCCATTAGCAAAATGTTACCCATGATACCTCTATCATACTTGACTTGGCATCCTCAAAGATTGATCGGAAGGTCGTTCTTTGGACCGTAATGTAGGCTTTTGTACAGGGTTAGAAATAAAGGGCGGCATGAAGGCTCAAAACAACTTAAGATGAAAAGGTTCAATATTACAACTTTTGGATTCAGATCTCTTGAAAAACTAAAACTTCTGCCCTAGTTTCTTTGAATCTGGGAAATTTTTGATTTTTATTCTGATGGGACCGAACCTTAGAGTAAGGTTGCCTATGTAACCTTGGCTATAAAGGAATCAGGTCTAACGTAGTTCCAACCACAATTCATTTTTCTCTCTCTTTTCTTTCTTTTCTTCTTCCTTTCTTTTTCTTTTCTTCTTTCTTTCTCTTTTCTTTCTTTTGCTTTTCTCTTTTTCTTCTTTTTTTTCTTTTTCTTTTTCTCTTCTTCTTCTTCTTTTTCTTCTTCTTCTTCTTCCTTTTTTTTTCTTTTCTTTTCTGTATATGTTCTCTCTCTTTTTTTCCTTCGTCTTCTCTTTTCTATTCTAACTCTACTTCTGATTCCAAAAAAGGGATATGAAAGAAAATAAATAAGGCTCAAAAGTAACACAGGATAAAAGTGTTTGGATAACAGAATAAAATGCCTTCGTCATTTAAACTTTTAACATGTCAAGTACAAGATAAGCAGAGAAATCATACATAATATCTCTCGACTGCATCAGAATTGATAGACACATCTACACATTTGCCTTCTATGTCTGTTAAATACAAAGCAACATTGGGCAACACTCTTGTCACAGTGAACGGCCCCTGCTAGTTTGGGGCGAACTTGCCTTTAGCTTCAGCCTAATGTGGAAGGATGCGCCTCAATGCCAGCTGGCCCACTTCAAATTTCCGGGGATGTACCTTCTTGTTGTACGCTCTTGCCATTCTCTTTTGATACAACTGACCATGACACACCGCTACTAATCTTTTCTTATCAATCAAATTCAGTTGTTCTAGACGGGTTTTGACCCACTCATCATCATCGATTTCAGATTCCGCAACAATCCGAAGGGACGAAATCTCAACTTCCGCAGGTATAACCGCCTTAGTTCCATATACCGACAAATAAGGAGTTGCACCTTCTGAAGTGTCAGTAGTGCGATAACCCAGCAAAGCAAAAGGTAAATTTTCATGCCATTGCCTAGAACTTTGCACCATCTTATGAAGTATCCTCTTTATGTTCTTGTTAGCCGCCTCAACCGCTCCATTTGCCTTGGGACTATACAGAGTGGAATTTCGATGCATATTCTTGAACTGTTGGCATACTTCTTTCATCAAATGACTGTTGAGATTACCGGCAAATGATATTTGAATGAACAAAATCTACCACTGCCTTCTTGATCACAGACTTGAAAGTTACAGCTTCGAACTACTTGGTGAAGTAATCAACCAGAATAAACCTATGCCCATTTGATGTTGCCGGCTCAATTGGTCCGATGACATCCATGTCCCAAGCAACAAAGGGATAAAGCACAGATATTGTGTGCAACTCAGATGGCTGAGAATGAATCAAATCACCGTGCACCTGGCATTGATGGCATTTGTGAACAAAGATGATGCAATCTCGTTCCATGGTGAGCTAATAATAACCTACTCGAAGTATCTTCTATGCTAAGACATACCCACTTATATGCAGCCCGCAAACTCCGGAATGCACTTCGGCCATAATAGTGAAAACTTGTTTAACATCTATGCACCTCAGTAGTCCAAGATCTAGAGTCCTCTTGT